GCTACAGTAAGAATTTACTTTGAACCAACTTATAAGAATTAGAGAACCCAATCGCAATATTAATGATTAAATGGACCAATTTGAAGTAACTTATAATAATCGGGGGAGCTATCAGCAATTTCAATGATTAGAGAGACTAATTTCAAAACATAAGAATTAAGGGACTAATATGGTAAAATAGTTTTTTTTAAATAACTTGCAATGAATAAATAAAGCAAAAAAGTAACATTTGTGATTTCAGAGAATACACGAGCATGTCAATCACTGTTATAAATAACGGTAAATAGCCCAATAATAGCGGCGCTAATAGCGTTAACGGTCCCTTCCCGCGACGCTATCGCCCGCTACGCTATCGCGCAATAGCGGTGACATATTACGGAATGTCTGTTCGCAAAAAACGACCAATAGTGTGTCATAGCGGTAAATAGTGAACGATTGCATTCGAAATTTATTTTTTGACTGCTATTTAAAAGCGGTTTGAGGCTTATTTTTTTAAAATTAAACTCAACCCTTGACCATTGCATTCCACCGTCTCTTGTGATTTTTAGTATATTCCTGCTACCTCTCATAGCCTCCTGACACCTACCTTGATACTTTCTCTCACCTCCTTCACCGTGAACTCCTCTTAGGACAGTCTTGTCACCGCTAGGCTCTTCTTCTCGAAGACGACGACTTTTTGACTCCTCCGGTCATCTTCGGTATTACGTGATGGTTACATGTCTATTTCATGTTTAGGATCTTTTTAAATCACCCCGCAATAGCGGCGCTAATAGCGTTAGCGGTCCCTTCCCGCGACGCTATCGCCCGCTACGCTATCGCGCAATAGCGGTGACATATTACGGAATGTCTGTTCGCAAAAAACGACCAATAGTGTGTCATAGCGGTAAATAGTGAACGATTGCATTCGAAATTTATTTTTTGACTGCTATTTAAAAGCGGTTTGAGGCTTATTTTTTTAAAATTAAACTCAACCCTTGACCATTGCATTCCACCGTCTCTTGTGATTTTTAGTATATTCCTGCTACCTCTCATAGCCTCCTGACACCTACCTTGATACTTTCTCTCACCTCCTTCACCGTGAACTCCTCTTAGGACAGTCTTGTCACCGCTAGGCTCTTCTTCTCGAAGACGACGACTTTTTGACTCCTCCGGTCATCTTCGGTATTACGTGATGGTTACATGTCTATTTCATGTTTAGGATCTTTTTAAATCATCTAATATGTACTTTTAGATTTCTTAGATTTTTTTTTTAATTTTTTTTAGTATTTATACATATCTGAATTAGACCGCTATTTGACTTTACGTTTTTTATCGCTATTTTGTCGTAATAGCCCGAAATAACCTTAGTGATACCTCACCGCTACGCGACGCTATCCGCTATCGATAACCTTGATGTCAATTGTACTATTCGTGATTTCGAAGAATGTATATGAGCACGTTATTATTCTAAGTAGGAAGAGCATTTAAATTGATTTTCTTACATTGTGATAATTCATTGATAGAGCCTTTACCGTAAACTTAATAACAAAGGACAATCTTTTTACAATTAACAAAATAAAAGATTATTTCAATTGCTCATTCGTGACATTGAGCCCTCTCCCCCCAACCAAACAATCCTGGACTCATCTCTAAAGGGGAGGTGAGGGAAAGAAAAAACAAGTTGGAAATGGTGATTGTCCACAGTCTCCCAAAATGTATGGACATTGAACAATAGCTAAGGATGGACAAAGAAGCTATCTAATAATGATTTATACCCACAAATTTTGTCATAAACCCCAAATTACCACTCCTTGTCAAAAGCCCTATCATAATAATGTCAAACACACTCTTAGCCTAGCTTTTCAGCCAAGGTTATTATTAGCTTAAGGCTAAATAACAAAGTATTGCTAGCAAACAAGTAAATAGCTGAGTGACTGTGCATTTGTACTTAAGCTTGCACTCAAAGCCGACCAAGAGTTGAAAGTTTTTCAATCTAGAACATATAAGAGTTATTTAGTTATTTTCTTGTAAGGAAAATATACTCAACAAAAAGGATATTATTGTACTTTAACTAACTCATCACTCACATCACTTCCCATCCCCTCAACCAAACAAGAAAAAGTAGTGTACCTTCCTTCACTCCCCCTTTCAACCAAACAAGGAGGCTAAAAGGGACTCCCTCCCCTCCACCTCATTGCGCTCTACTCCCCATTCCCTTCCTTCTCAACCCCCTTACCATTTTCCCTTTAACCTTATCTACAGTAAAGAAATTACATGAGATACATTGTATCTAGATACATTACAACACCACCAAGTGGTACAGTCCAGCATAATCAAATGCGCTCCAGGACGTGCGCCCAACGTGTTGGGCATCTCGACGCATAGGAGAAGTTCCCTATATCAAATGCAGAGCTCTCTACTTTCGCAAGGCGTGCAGCCTTTAGCGCCTTGTGAGCACCTTGCGCATCAAACAGGACGCTATTGAAGCCTTGCTTCTGTTTTTTAAGCATAAAATTTTTCCAATCGGTTCTGCTACGTATTCAACACTAAAATAAACCCTTTAATACCTCGATTACTAATACCCTATAAAAAACCATAATTTGCACCATTGTTCTCTTTTCCAACAGCCTCTTTCTCTCTTCTTGCGTCTTCTACAGATTGAGGATTTGAAGCAAACATTCCATCAAAGAGCCCAACGGCTAAGGATCCTTCAGTGAACAATTCTCCAACGAGCATCCTCCAGTGAAATCTTATGATAAGGTATTTTATTTTTACTAGTTTTTTTTATTTTCACTTTCTTTACAAACTTGAATCTCTATTTTTTATTTTCTCTAGGTTTATGGAATATGGAATATGGAATATGGAGCAATGTTGTTTGCATAAATTTTGTGGGTTTAGTGATTTATATTTCACTTGTTCTCCTCTATTTTATACTCCAGCAATTTCCTTTGGACCAAGTAGTGCCTTCTTTATTTAGTTTCAAGCACCGAATATTCATTCTACCTAGTTGATTGACATGTAGCCTACAAACTGAAAAGAATGAGTAGTTTGATGTACAACTATGCATAATTTGTATGAAGAAACTGTTTTATGATTTGGTAAGTGAAATTATTTATCTTGACATCTTTTTCATATGGACATTCTTAAACATGTTCCTACATGTTTGTTAGTTTATCTTAAAAAGAAACTTTTTGTAAGGTGCGCCTCGCTTCAACGAGGTGAGAGCATCGCTTTGCGCATGGTGCGGGCAAAGGAACTTTGCGGTCTGCATTGCGCCTTGATAATTCCGGTACATCATATATGGTTATATGAATAACTTCAGTATGCGAGACATTGTACTTGGACACAAGTTATTTCACTATGCTCCTCCTCAAGAAGAAGAATGACATGCATACCCAACTTGTCACGTATGACTGAAAAACTTTTCCTAGAAGAAAAACCATCAATCTTGAAAATCATCATGGTTTTTGTCCAATATTGGTAGCTTTATAAGCAAAAGTATCAATAGAAACTTCGGCACAAAACATGGATTAGTCAAGGTATCCGGTAGTAATCTGAAGATCTCCAATATGGAGACATGCAGTAGGATCTCCAACATAGGGACATTAACTAGAATATCTCCGACATGGAGACAAGAACTAGAACCTCCGAAATGGAGACCGACAATAAAATCTCTGACATGAAGATGGACAATAAGACCTCAAATGTGGAGACAAATTGTAAAATCCCCAGAGTGGGGACAGGAAAAAAGATCTCAAGGATCTCCAACATGGAGACAAACAATAGAAACCAATATGAAAGGAGTAGCAAGATCTCCGACATGAAGACAAACAATAAGATCTCTGACATGGAGACAAACACTAGAATCTCCCATATACCACAAGCAACAAGATCTTTGACATGGTGACAAACAATAGGATCTCTGAGATGGAGACAATAAATAAGATCACATGCACATAGGCAGTAGGATGAAAACGTCACCGCCAACTAGGTGTAAAGGAGCAGATAATAGCATGCTTCGTTTTCTGCTTGATGATCAGTCCAGGTCTCAGGTTCACCATGCATGTTCCCACACAATCAGTAAAATCCTGATGGCAATGGTGATGGCATCCTTGAGATCAAAACCAAGTGTGTAGCGTGTAGTACGATGTTTGAACAATTGACAACTTTAAGGAACTGACCCTCGATTACATTTTTGTCCTGACTTCTTGCAAATGACTTTGATGGGGTACTAAGTGATGCCGTCAATGTGAAGATGACAAAGATGCCGGGGGAAACGTGGGGATAGCACTTGTGATGCGGTCTCCTCGACGCTCCCGAGGTGTAGGAAAAAGAGGGGTTCTCTTGATCTCAGATTTTTCTCTGGTACCATGTTGAAATCAAGGGTCAGACTGAAAAAGGCTTGGCTAGTTCTCTCTTCACTTCAAAGTTATTTATAGTATTGAAATTACATTTGTTACATTATACCTAGACACATGTAACTTCACCATGGTGGTACATCGTATCTAGACATGAGAACTCCATGTGATACAAATCTCCAGACACATGACAATTCCACCATGTGGTACATTGTATCTAAACACATCTAATTTCTCTATAGGAATATAGAAAAAATGAAAAATTAATCCTCTAAATCTCCAATCTTTTCTTTCATAATGAAATTTCATATCATTTTAGTTTCCACTTTATAAGAATCCAACCTGCGGATAATTTTTTCATAATTAATAGTGGAACAACTCTTGTAGATTAAGACATAAGTAACATCATACATATGAAACCAAAATATATTATAACCAGTGTGAACTGCAAAAGTGGGAAGATAAAAAAATGGACTTATTTAGTCAATGCTGACATAGGAATAATTGACTGTGAGGAAACAAACTTAAATTGCTAGTAATAATTTGACATATGCTACTCTCAAAACTTAATACCCTTCATATCTAATCTTTTTATTATATAACACAGTCACTGTAATTATCATCTATACAGTGTTGAGCTAAATTTTGAGTAATTGCACTTACCAGTCCAATGCATTGTCCCACCCAAGGGCAGTGATGATCGAAGCGTTGTACGCAATTGTTGCAGATTGAACAGTGGGAACACCGAGGAGGGCGATAAAGCATGCAAGTATCACAATACTTAATTTTCACTGTCATACCATTAACAATGACATCCTTTGTTCGAGGTAAACGTAACTGTGGAGTTTGAACTCCCCCAACTTCAATGTTGCCATCAAAACCTTCAGGCTCTGGAGGGTGCGCATTACGAGGAATGATACCTGGATCTCTTCCAGAGGTTAGCAGTAGGAGAGCTAGATCCTGGAAAAATAACCCTATAAGAAACCTTCTCTTCATATCATGAGACACCAACATAAAAGGAAACAGGGCAGATTTGAGGAAAAAATGTTCTAACTTTTAAATGAAAAGAATACAATTTTAAAAGAGTGTCATAAGATATACTTCTTTAAATCCATTACAGATCCACATCAAAGGGAAATGGATAGAGATGTAATAACTTTTAAAAAGAACAGCATGTGTTTTCTTAAATTCTAGATCATCAAATGATTGTCATTGAGAACAATTCTTAAGTGTAATTTTAAGCTTTAGAAATTTCCAACTCTGCAGGTCAGGGGCTCTTAATACTCCAAGTGTAACATAGCTTTTTGCTCTAAACAACACATTAAAAATCAAATATATTTTTTGCTCCATTTCTTTCTCCTGGGATCCAGATGATGCCACGCCATGACTGTTAGTCCTTTTCAGCTCAATCAAATCAACATAAAAAAGTCCAAACAAATATCACATGTAACTTTAGACAATAGCAATCAATAACTGCATTGACAAAATGGGAACATGGTCTACTTAAGTGCACAGCATCAGGTTTAACTGGCCTATTTGTGACTTGTGAATAATATTTAATATTACCCTGCTCAGTAGTTGGTATTTGGTAATTCTCTTTTTATCAACTGGAAGTGTTCCTCTTCGCAACCACAACCAGTACACACAATATTTTTTTGTAAATCAAGATTATGTTGCCAGATTTGCAGCATAGATTTCAATTAGATAGGGGTCAAAATTTTATCTCAAAAGGTCATGGCCAAAATAGAAAAATATCAAGTTAAAGCCAACTTGAGTATTTAACATTTAACAACTAAAAAAAGAGTAAAAGAAGTGTAGATACGGATCAACAGAGCCCTAGTTTACTTTTGCATGTTAATCCGGAGGCAGAGTTTTACTGTACAGAACTTGCATACCAAAAGCTCCAGAACGTAAGGAACACACCTTATCATGAAAAAACCTTAGGGTTCACTAAAGTTTTTTTCCAAATAAATAGTGTTAATTTCAGTTTCCAGATCCGTGTTGTTGATCTATACATGACTAACCCCAAACCTTCCTAGTTATTAATCAGCTCAATAACTTCTAGTAGAAAGAATTGAACCATAACACTTTAGGTGAATATACTAATATTAAATTTAAAACGATAACCACGAAAGCTGATTATCTTTTTTTTGTTTGAACCTAAGTTTTTATTCAACGTTTTTTATTACCTACTTGAGACTTCTTTTTTTCATACATTTTGATTAATTTAATTAAAGTACAGATTCAAATTGGGCTAATAGATTGAACCCAATTGACCTAACCATTTATATATTAGTCATGTTAAATGGGTTGATCAGTTGTTATTCATGCCTACTATGCCCGGTCTATATGCACATGTCAACCTGAGGGGTTAGATCAAGATTGCCACACCTACAAGAAAGTTGGATAGAGGTTAAAAGGAGATCACAAGTTACCAGGGATGGAGCCAAGGTGGGGCCAAAAGGGCCTTGGCCCCACGTTAAAATGGTAAGAAAATCAAGTACAGGTCGCTAACAGAGATTTTCTAGGGTTTAAACGCACAATTAAGATACTCAAATTTCACAGACTGCAATTTTTTAATTAAAATTGATTTATATGTGTTCGTCTATCAAGATTCAAGAAGCTAGACATCCACAGTCAATAAAGAAACTGCAATGGGAAAAATTAGAAACAAAGCTGCAATAGTATGAATTGGCTTGTTATAGATGATCAACCCATAACTAAAGTATATAATAGTTCCAAAAGTAGCAAGGTCTTGCAATTCGACAAATGTATCACAGTGATACAGACCTCAAAGAGTTCTTTCCGTAGAGACAGTAGCAATTCTATAACCTTCAGTTATATGACAACAATCAACAGGTCATTTCACTAACTAACAAATTCTAAACCTGCTTTTATTTAGATTGCAAAGGGAAAGTCATTATGAATAATCAAATGATTTGATTTTAAGAACAATAGTACAAATAGAATGATCACTTGAATGGAAGATGGATACTTTTATATCCTTTGGTGTATAATTTGGTGAACTTGACACTAATCTTGTCCTTTGTAATGGCAAGTCTTAAAAAAGTATTTTCGTCAATGAAATTTATTAAGAATGAAACCGAGAGATAAGTATATAATGATTGTTTTGATTCCTTGTATTGCAACCAAAAAAATATAATGTTTTGTAGCATTGATGAGGAAGATGTCATGAAATTGTTCTAAGTAAAAGCAAGAAGAATGTTATTATAAATAATATATTCTAATTTGAAATTTGATTTTAAAAGAAATGATGCGTTGATACTAACCAATCATGGAAAAAAATTATATTATGTTTAATTATTAATTTTTGGAACACCCCCTCCAAAAAATACCCACCCCAAATCGAAATTTCTGGCTCCGCCACTGTATGTTACTACCCTTCTACTTGCCAATTTAGTATGTAAGGTTACTAAGAGTGTGTGTATGATTAATTTGTAGTTTTAGATTGCTTTATCAGTGGCCTTTTAAACAATATCTAGAGGGATATCAGCAAATTCAGAGTATTGAAGTAATCAAAGCAAGAGAGCAACTTGTATGGACTATGGAAGTTAGGAGATGACTTCTAAATATTTCTCATACACAAAAGCCAAAGTTTAAGTAAAATGGTAACACAACAACTATAAAAATTCATGTAACCTTGAACCATTTGTATATTAAATAAACTAAAACAAGAGATACTGCAGTTGCACAGATAGCGAATTCACGCATGCACCCGCACGCATGCACACCGCACATGCATGGTGAATGTAAATCAACGATTGTCAAAGATTCCTAATTAACCAGTAAATTAAAAGATACTTCAAAAAAAGAAAACATGTATTACTACAATAGAGATAATACTAACATATATTGTGAATGCAACAGCAACCACCATTATGGAAATTCCCAGATGATGAGAAAAATGATCCATGAGCTTTCTGGCAACGAATACGCAAAAGACAGCAACAGGAGCCACAATAAGAAATATAGTAAGAAATAATGATCTCACATCAGGCCCAAAAATAAATCTCCCTTGAAGGAAAAATATCTGCAAAACACGAATAAATTGTATTATTCAAAAGAAATGCTAGTGATCAGGATACATGTATGGGAAGAAAAGAAAGGAAACAAAAAAAAACTCAACATGAAATCTAAAGGAGGCAGTCAGTAAAAGGTTGAAGTTAAGAAATTTCAATGCAAAAGAAGAAAGAAGCATCATTATCTAACCAAGCTTTCCCTTTCAGTAGCAATGTCTTGATAAATGTAATTTCAGTGAGCACTTTGTATATTTACCCAAATGAATATTTAAAGTGAAGGAGCATGTGATGTGCATCGAGCACTGTTCAGCATCTCCATTAAGCATCCCTGAATCACATTGCCACTTTACTTATTGCAATTAGTTATACAATCAATCACCTGTCACTCAATGAACTTGGTGTATGTCTTCTACAAGGAGCAACTGAGGAGTTGAAATATCTAAAAAATTAGTCTATTAATTTTAGTTAAGAGGGTGAATAGACAAAAAATTAGGACAGATTTCTAGTGTATAGCCGAAGGAAATAATAAGAAATAACATCTTGAAGAAAAGTTCTGCACTGAGATGAAGTATAGATACTAAAATGGGATGTGAGTTTCATGTCACCAAAGCATATGAAAGAACACCAAGATTAGGCTCCAAAGCTTTGGTTAAACCGTACATCTTTCCTTGCAAGACAGAGTTTGAAACTTTGAAATAAAGCATGGAAAGTGACATGACATCATCAGAATAGGGGCAATAACAGATTTATCATTTTAGGCAGAAGAATTAGGAATGGCAAGAAAACAGAAGCAGGATAATGTTGTTCGAGAGATCTTAGAGATGCCTAAATTTGATTGTAATGTACTTGGAGACTTCTGAAAACATGGAAGAAAAGAGTTGGTAATCCTCAAGAATAAGATGAGAGGCAGTATGGAGAAAAGGATGAGAGGGGGTAAATCACCACATAAGTATTAGATTTGGTGAACTTAAAGAAAGAACCATCATGAAATATAGCAGTCATTCCTATAGTGATATACAATGTTTTAGTGTGAGGCCTCATACACTCAAGCAAGACAATTTTGTACCTTAGAGCATTGCATATCATCAGACAAAGAATGAATTAGGAAGGTGAGCGCCTTTTTGTGCCTCAAGAGCTTGCCTAGGCACCTCAAGCACTCCCCTAAGACTGTGCAGCAAGGCGCAAGAGGGGTATGTCTCTGTTTTGAATTTTTGAGGTTGCAAAAAGTGTCTGAGTCTACCAAAGTGTGTGTATGTGTGTGTGAATTTTCTACTTTTTTTTCTTGGTTGATTTCTGCTTTTTTCGTTGCAAGGTATACCTATATCATTTTGAGGACACCACTATTTGAACCTTGAAAGTTAAACTTTGTCGCTTTAATATCTATATTAGTAGTTATTAGTAGTATTACTATTTAGTATTTGTTACTTGCTTTATTTAGATGGTTTATGTCTTGTTAGGTATCATAACTTGTGATTTAGAAAATACCATTGTCATTAATTTGTCCTTTCATCACTTAATCATATCGTGCTTAATTGCATACTACTTATAGTCATAACGTGTTGGTTCACTCAAGTGATCGCCTTCTTTGGCATCTCTCGCCTCATGCAACATAAGACCTCATCTCCTAGACCTGGATTTCCACATATTGATGCTATTATATGAATATATTGCTGGAATAGCATGGAAGTTCAGTCCTAACTCTGTTCTAGCAATGATAGTCTGGTAAAAACTAAATTCATCTCTAACTTACTCATTAAAAAGTGGCAACTTCCAAATACAATTCCTAGTATCACTAGGCCAATCCAAATACTTACCACCATATGTATTTTTAAATAAAGGTTAACTTCACGAAAATTAAGAAGATAATTCTATTAAAATTAAAATAGAGTGATGATAATACATGGTAGAGTTATAATGTTCATGAGAGTTCATCCACTGAATCACATGAGATACAATGATGAAAAAGATAGCCACAGGTTCACCTTCTTTGGTTTGAGATTTCAGTTTCAAGGATGGCTAATTTTCCTCTCTTTCTACTTTAACAATGTTCACATCGAGTAAGTGGCAAATCCCAAATTTTTTTTGTTTTTTGTTTTTTTTTTGTTTTTTTTTTTTTTTTTTTTGGGGGGGGGGGGGGGGGGGGTAATGACATTAAATGAACACATAAATGATGTATCCAGTGCACTTGATATTTGATATTAACAAATAACTACTCGCTCATACTAGTTTTGAAATTACCAATTGATTCTAAACAACCAAAGAAATTTTTTAAATTAAAATACAATATTATAAAATAACATTCTTGATAAAAGAGCTAAATTTTCAACTTTAATGGCTTAAAATTCGAACAGGGTGCAAACATTTTTAAATTATGGGGAGCGAGTTGTAAATTTAGAAGGCTTTAGAATGCAATGTATCATATTGTCAGAGGTGCAATTGCCATCCTAGCTTTAATGTGCATCCGCCCTTGTGAGTAACTGATGATGATTTTTTATTTCCGAAAGGAGGCAACTTTATATGACCTAATTGCTCAAAGATCACCTTTAAAATCTAGATTACATGCTTCATGTCGAGGCTAAGAAATTTAGTACTTGCAAACATTCTTAATACTAAACAGCTTATTTATCTTTATTGGAGGCTTGTTGATCCATCCAATCTCATCACTGCCTTGGAGTTAGTTACCAAAAATTCCCCACTATAGAAATGTCACTAAAACAAGTACATATCTGCTAAGTTTCACCACCAACAAATTTTTGAAATGTATGAAGCTTCCGCTATAAAAGAAAAAAAAAATCTGCACATTCCCTTCTCTCCTCAAACACCATAAAGAAACTAAAATGCCCAATATCAAAGAAACCCATTTTAATCAAAAAAAAAAAATCACAACTTTCCAACGAAAACTACCCAAATCTTTCTAAATAATCAACAGTACTCCCCCCAAATGGCCAACTCAACATTACCCAAAAACAAAATCAACACACTTTACCCTAATCCAACAAAATGTCTCCTATAACAACAATAAACCCTCACAGATCGAACCGTAACTTACCAAGTAAACCCAAAATCCTGCAACAAACCCTTGTACTTTCCAAATTCAGCAAAAATTTTAGACATTAGAAAGAGACAGACTCACATTGCTACCCTTCCAAGCTTGGTAAACCCTAGGCTCCACCCTCGCCGTTTCAGCGGTTGCGGATCCGCGGGGAGGCGGAGCCGCGTACATTCCGCCAACAAGATCCGGATCCGAGTCCTATGGAGAGTCTCCGCTCGAATCCGATAGGAAATGCCGTTATCGGAGCTCCGATTAGATTGCGACTTCGGCTGCCTACCCGAACTTTTCCTATTTTCCCCTCGCTTTTTCCTTGTGTGAGAGGACAACGAAGAGAGAGGAAAGGAGAGGCTAGTCTTGGGTGAGCGATGCACGTGGAGACGTTTGGAAACTTGGACCAAAGAAAGAGACCAACTCAATAAAAGAAATTATTCAAATAGTTTTTCTTAGTTTAGTACTAAATTTTGATATTTGATTTGATAAGGATGTCTTTAGAATTTAATATCTGCTTAGTCGTTTAACTACTTAGATTAAGGACAAGGGTTAAGAGGTGAGAAAGAAACCAATAAGCAATAATTTTGTGGGTTGATGACTTTGTTTCATCTAGTTAAATTACTTTGGATAGGGCTTAGATGCCGTTTTGAAGTAGGCCCCATTTGAGAATGATGAAGACATGTGGAGAGCAGAAAGTGCAATTGCATTTTTATAACTTACTTGGTTGATTTGATTGAGATTCACATCCTCCCCTCTCTTTCATCAAGTTCATGTACAAAACCCTTCGGTAATTCAAGTTAGTTCTTGAACTCGAGTAAGGACAAAAAGTCAAGCTGAAATGGTTGACCTAAAGATTTTTACTATTTAAAGACACTTGTGTGTAGCCGTCCTTTCCCCTGTTTTCTTTTTACATTGCATTTTGAACCTATCTTCTTCCTCTAAGGTTTAATAAATTTGATTTGATTATTGTAGGTTTAAAATTAGAATTCGTATCTATTGCTCTATACGTAAAGAAGGATCCAATATTTACTGTTCATAGTTCAGTAAAATAATATAGTATAAACAGTAAATTTATTATGTTACACATGCGGGGGATATAAAGATTTATTGTTCATAATACAGTAATTTGTTGTAGCATAAACAGTAAATCTTTGGATACTCCTTTAACTATAAAGGAGTAGATTTCGAGCTCATATCTCATCTTCACATAGGAAACTCTTTTCTTTGGTGCCAACACGTTCTGAACACGCATTAAGGAAAAACTTTTGCCCAGTTCACATGCTGAACACGCATTAAGGAAAAACTTTTGCCCAGTGATCGAAGACTTGAAGGAGCTTGAATGAAAAGAGAGATCAAAATTGGAAAATAGGAATATGAACCGGGGATAAAGTGGCCAGAGACAGACCAGTTACTCTCGATCGAGCTTTCAGGAGAAAATTAGGGTTTTTTTATCATAACAGACACCCAAAACTTCTTTAATTATCATTAGACCCTCAAATTATACATGCTTGGATACCATGGTTGGTTGTGTTGTGTTTTTCTAGAAAAGCATCATTGTCGTTGTGTTTTTTGTAGATTCGAGGTGGAGAATTGTAGATTCGGCGAGTGTATGGAGTTGATCACTGGAAAAAGTCGAAGAGTGCTTTTGAGCGTCTGGCGGTCGACCGGAGGTGGAGCTGCGGTCGACCGCAATGTGCACGAAGGATTGATTTTGGGCTCTGGATATTGGGCGGTCGACCGGACATGTAGCGGCGGTCGACCGGATTTGGTCCAGAGAGTTGGGTGAGCCTCTGGACTTTTCGCGGTCGACCGCACATGGAGCTGCGGTCGACCGCGATGCGGGTTTCGGTCTGGGTCTGTTTTTCAGACCCGTTTCGTTTAGCTTTGGTATAGATACCCAATGGGTGTTTTTTAGGGTTTAAAAGGCAAGAGTTTTGAGCTGTTGAAAGGGGTTTTCTTTGGGCTTCTATTCTAGGAGCATTTGGAGAGATCAAGAGTGAGTTGTTGTGGGTTTTTTGGTGAGAGATTGTAACCCTAGTTTGTTTCTCTTGATTTCTAATAGTGAAAACTCCCCCTTCCTTGTAAAACTAGTGTTTGATTGTTTGTGCTATTGTTTTGGTGTGTTGGTTATCTTTTTCTTGGCGATTGGTTTGGATTCTCGAGGCACAACAAGTGGTATCAGAGCTCCGGGCAACGCTTGGGCTTTTTGGAGGTATAGATCAGTTGGGAAGTTCATCTAGAGCTTCGATTGGTGATAAAGGTGGGATCTTTGTGGTAAAGTTTCTATCTTTTTCAAGTTGGGTCTATTTTCTTGTTTGTTCCGCAAATGTTTGGGTGCTTTGAGATTATGGCCGGAAAGGATAAACATGGGGAGGGTTCTTCTAGTGTGAGGGCCATCCAAAGTTTGAATATACATTCTATGAAAATAGATGTGGAAAAGTTCAACGGCACAAATAATTTTGGACTTTGGAGATGTGAAGTCATGGATGCGCTAAATGTGCAAAATTTGGAAGATACATTAGAGTTGGACGGGAAACCGGACAACATGGATAAAAAGGTTTGGAATAAAATGAATAGAACGGCGTGTGGTGTGATTAGGTCTTGCCTTACCCAAGATCTAAAATATGATGTGATGAATGAAACTTCGGCAAAGAAGATTTGGGAGGTCCTAGAGGGCAAATATTTGACAAAGAGTGTCGAAAATCGTTTGCATTTGAAGAGGAGGCTTTATCGCTTCCAATTGAAGAAGGGGACATCCATTAGTGATCACATGAACCACTACACGAAGCTATTTGCAGATTTGGCGAACATAGATATCATTGTTGAAGATGAGGATAAAGCATTGTTGTTATTGAGTTCCTTACTCGACGAGGAATATGAGACATTCGTCCTCACTCTTATTAATGGGAAGGCATCTCTTTCGTATAGTGAGGTCACCGCAGCCCTTGTGAACTATCAACTTCGAAAGAAGGACAAGGAGACTTCCATTGAGCCGGTTGCAGGTGCATTGGTTGCAAGAGCTAAAAGTCCAAACCGTGGAAGAAGGTCGCAGTCTAGAGTGGGGCATCCTGCAGTTGGTAGGAATCAGTGTGCTTTTTGTAGAGAGGATGGACATTGGAAAGCCGAATGCCCAAAATTGCAAGCCGTGAAGAATAAAGGGAAAGCTATTCAAGCTTCAGAGGTAAATGTTGCCAAGGCTAGTGGCGATGTTTCAGATTCAGATTCTTCGGGCTATTCATGCTCAGCTCTCCCATCAGTTGATGTTGCCGACTCTACCGAGTGGATGTTGGATTCTGGTGCTACTTACCACATATGCCCTAGAAGGGATTGGTTCTCCAGCTTTCAGGAGTTGGAAAGAGGGGATGCTGTTCTTATGGGTAATGATCACAGGTGCCCTATTGGTGGTATTGGTACCGTTCAGATTCGAATGAGTGACGGAATAATCCGGGAGTTGGCTGATGTGAGGTTCGTTCCTCAACTGAGGAAGAACATCATTTCACTTGGGGTATTAGAGGCATCAGGCTATAGGGTGACTTTGGCGGATTCTCGCTTGAAGGTCACATCGGGGTCCATGATTGTGATGAAGGGTGTCAGGAGGAGAAACTTATATTATCTGTTTGGGAGCACGGTGATTGATAGAGCGCTGACGACTTCTATGACTAGACTGTGGTATTGTTTGGTGCTGGGATATATTGTTGGTTATACCGTACACAGATTGTTGAGGAGTGCTATGACCTGCAGATTGAAGTCTTGTGAGCACATTAGGATGAGCGAGAAGACCGAGGTGGAGTTCAGCACTTCTATCCACCGATCGAGGGGTCTTATTGGAGGTGTTCAGTCAGGCATTGGGGGGCTTTCCGAGGAGGCATCATCGGGAGGTAATCGTTATTTTGTTTCCTATGTTGGGGATTGTACTAGGCATATTTGGGTTGCAACCAAGTCCCGTTGGTATAAAGCCCTAGTAGTCCGCAACAGTTGGAGGAGGTGTATGGGCAGAAAGGTTACCAGTTGTACTTGTTCTAGTAGGAGTCCTTTCTTGCATTGGTGCCGAGCTCATGGCAGTTGGAGACACTTCAGAGGAGAGGAGACAGTGGGGCGACGTGATGAGATGACGGATTCAGTGAGCCGTTCTTTTCTGGAGGAGGATTGGTATTGGTTGTCTAGCAGTGGATCTGGTATTCAGGCTTCGACAGGTTTAGGTCATCTTATGAGGTTGCCGACTGTTACGTATAGAGTTGTTAGGTCTGGTGGAGCTGTTTCAGATTTTGGTTGGCGTCGGATATTGGGCTACCCAGCACTTGGTCACATCGCTGATGTGAGATTAGATCCGATTGCGCATTTGGGATTCAGGAGTTCATTCGGCTATAAGTGGGGAGCTTCTGAGTTTGGTCTGAGAAGGTTTGTCACTTTGGACTCTCGGCAGGTGGAGAGTATTGATCAGGTCAGAGGGATATCGCAGCGGGTGGAGGTTGATGCTACTCCACATTGGGTGGAGCTTACTCCACATACTCCAGGTCATTCTGCATTGGTTGGGATTCCAGTTGAGGTGGCACAGCGTGGGAGTCATTTATTTTTGGGTGCAGATGATGAGGTGGTTGATTTGGATGTAGTTGGTGGATATGTTTTGGATACGGCCATTGTTTCATCTCAGGTGGAGGTGTTGGACTGTTTTCAGTTTGGGGCCGTTGATGATGCTATCAGCTGCAAGATGGATTGAGGGCCTTTGGAGGCCAAAGGTGAACTACGTGAAGGCTTGATTCCTTGGATAGGATACGTAGGCAGTCAGTTTTCTGATGCAGACGATTTGGTGAGCGACATCGACATTTGGGGTGAGTGTTTGTACTCCCATTTGGGTCTCAGTAAGTGAGGCATTTGGTATAGTCGGTGTAGGCTCAGTTGTTTGGTGAGTAGCATTTGGTATAGTCGGTGTAGGCTCAGTTGTTTGGTGAGTAGACACAGTTGGTTTGGGGTTGAGTGTTCGCACTCCCGTTTGGGTCTCGACGTGTTGTGGATAGGGTCCGTTGTCATGAGTCCGTTGCCATGGTGTACTGGATGCAACAGTTGAGGCATTGGTTTGATCGGTGTCGGCTCAGTTTTGGGAAAACGTTCGCCAAGGTGGAGAATTGTAGATTCGAGGTGGAGAATTGTAGATTCGGCGAGTGTATGGAGTTGATCACTGGAAAAAGTCGAAGAGTGCTTTTGAGCGTCTGGCGGTCGACCGGAGGTGGAGCTGCGGTCGACCGCAATGTGCACGAAGGATTGATTTTGGGCTCTGGATATTGGGCGGTCGACCGGACATGTAGCGGCGGTCGACCGGATTTGGTCCAGAGAGTTGGGTGAGCCTCTGGACTTTTCGCGGTCGACCGCACATGGAG